TGTGTGTGTGTGTGTGTGTGTGTGTGTGTGTGTGTGTGTGTGTGTGTGTGTGTGTGTGTGTGTGTGTGTGTGTGTGTGTGTGTGCATGCATGTGTGTGCATGTGTGTGCATGTGTTGATGAGCAAAAGGCTAAGGATTCCGAATGAGGACGATGTGAAAATATTTGTCAGTGATGGGTTCAAGTATGTTACGTTTCAGTACTTTGAAAACTTGTTTCAGCAATGGCCATCGCTGCCATGGCAGAGACAGACACCATCCGGAAAGAGTCGGCCAAGTTCAAGGACAAGCACAGATCGCAGTGTGATTCTACTCACACCGCAGGCTGAAGGAAAGAACGAAACTGAGAAGAAGGTGTCCTTTGGTGGAAATGCACGAACCGCATCACAGTTGGAGTTCGGAATCCGGTCACGTCAGAGTAACAGCACATTCAGTTCCATGACAACAACTCCGAAGAGGACACCAGATGCTGGGATTGGCAGGAGAAACTCGCCAGATGGTGCTGGTGGTGTGTCGCCCTTGCTCCCTATGCCGGCCAAGCGAACACCCACATCCAGGGGGGAGCTGGAGAGCCTCGCTGAAGGAACAGCGCCAAGTACAGCACCGAGCATGTCCTTTAAGAATCCATCTATAACAAGTCCCCAGTATTCGATATCTGGAACGCCCAGTGCCCGTGGAAGCTTTACTCTACAGCGCCAGGGCAGCTCCATGGACCAGTACCGTGCGCCTACTGCCCGCAGGTCATCCATCGTTGGAATTCGAAAGAACTCAGACAAAGGGTTGCAGAGACTTCTGAGTGGGGAAGCATGGCAACAACAAGACGAGGAGGTCCGCAACAGACGTAGATTGTCATTACCAATATACGATTTTGGTGACAATCCCGCCACACGTAGAGCATCACTACCATCTTTTGATTTGGCTGACAAAGGCAAACGAAGAGCGTCTGCATCATCTGTAACTGGAGATCTCTTGGCTCAGTTCAAACTGGCATCCAGGCAACCAAGCTTAGCCTATGTCCGACAACTTCGTAGGATCAATTTCCCTCTCCTTATAAAGAAATCCCTCTGCGAACGGGTGAAGCGCGACCATCTCATGTGGCTCAACTTCATTTCTACTGGCACCTCTGGGAGCATAATATCTAATGGGACCACCAACTCATTGGCACAAGCATATGACAGCAGTTTGGAAGACCATCACAGAAGTGTGAAAGTTGCCACCTATAAGGTTCCCATGGTGGAAAGCTCAGAGATTGACAGCTTGTTTGATGTATCAGCTGATCCGCTTGATCCTTTGCCCGGGAAATTGCAACAACTCATCGAACTAATCACTTGTGGGCTGGCAAAGACATTCCAGCTTCATGACCCCCAAAACCTGAAAAAATATCTCCTAGCACATCTAAAGGACAGCAACAATTTGGGACCCCCAAAGCCGTCCTAGGTAGGATTGCTCCTTTATGTCGGAAGTCTTTGTGATTAACGCAGACGAACACTTCGAATGGGAGCAGCAGCCATAAGACAGCCGATTGCACCATTTTCTGTTTTGCGAGAAGTAATGCCCTGGCAAGCACCGTACGAAGGTTGCTAAGCTTCTTCTGTTTCTTTTCCATGCATCTGTTCCCCACTGTCCATAGACTCCATACTCATCTCCCTCCTCCTCCTCCTCCTCCTCCTCTGCTGTTCCACCTCTCCTACTCCGCCGACGGACCTCCGTGGGGTCCAAATTAGCCCAGGACAGAGTAAGCCAGTGAAAGTCAGCTGAACCACTGTCACGGTCACCATTTTTTGTGCATTGTGTTTGTTCAAAACACACACACACACACACACACACACACACACACACACACACATGGGAAGTTGGGAGTTTGACATTTCTTTGGGGATGAGTAGGGTCCCCCTATTCGAAGATAAGTTGTTTGGGTATGAATAGCTTTTGTTTTTGTATGCTTCTTGCCAAAAGGTTGGAGCTTTTTACTCAACCCTTCGAGAACGTATTCGTGGACCGGGTTGTCAAAAGAATGACAAACCCTGGGTATGGAAATACCACTACCTCACTGGCCTCTCATGTGGAACTTGATGGAACCTGGGCCTTGTTTTCTCTTTTCACTTTTTCTAAAGAACCCATTTGTCCCATCTTTTCTGCCAGCTGTGTGCTGAACTCTTGCATAGCTTTTCCAACTATTTGGGGTGGGCTTGTGATAAGCCAAGCTCCATACCTCGCGGCTTTACGTACCCATTGGAATAAACCCCGAAGGAAGCCCCTAAGTACGGATCTTGACTCATTACAAATAAAGGGGTCCATTTTGAATTTTTTATGGTCATCTGCATGCATGCCCTTGTCCTTGTTTGAGTTAGCCTTGCACGGCCGACTAGCGACCGCACCGGAATTTCAAGAAAATGGTTATGAATTTGACTGACGGTGTTTTCAATTTCTTTGGATCAATATGCATGCCCGTGGCCATTTTCGAATTCCTGCTCACTGCGCAAGCTCACTTCCTGTTTTGTGCGCACACACGAGCTTCTTTTCTTGCTGACCTTCGTCTACACCCCCTTCGTCTTCCTCCCGCCCCTTCGTCCTATCCTCCCCCTGTATCTTTGGCGCGATTGTTTGATCACCAGTTGAGATGGTCAGATCAAGTCGTAAGAACGAACTTAACGTGTGCGGCTTGAACGACCACATCAAGTGTGTGAAATTTCAATCGTTCCCCCTGCTTCAACTCTCTAGAACCTTCTTCCTTCTGTCCTCCTCATCTACACCCCTCACTGCCACTATTACACGCTGGGGTCCCGTCACCTTCCACGCTATAAATTTGTGCAGCCCCTTCCTTTCCTCCTCTTTGATCTCGACTGCAATAATGTGTGAGCTATGCGCGAAGACTGCAGCACTGAATAGGCTCGACATGCCCAAAGAACGAGTGGAGTGACGACGTGGGGTGCAATTAGCGATAGACTCGGGGTAAGGCAGTCGGAGGGACTGAGTGGTGGTGGAGACAGGAGCACAACCGGTGGTAAGGCCTTATGGCTATGCTGGCACGAGCTTGGTTGGATATGGTGGCTGTGCACGCAGAGTGTCAGCATCATTATGATTTTTGATAGGGACTCGCTTCTTTTCTATGGCTGCTTTGTCTAAGTGTCGTGTGCGCTGAAGACTAAGTGTGGATACTCAGTCGTGTGCATGACTTTGGTTGCAAGTGTCTATGGATGCTCAATGTTTCGCTGTCAGAAAATCTACGGATGGATGGATGGTCGAGGATTGTGTGAGGGTCCTTGTCAATGTTGTCATGCCTGTGCACATGGGTGCGCATCTGGGGTAATTGGGTTTTGGACGTTTGCACGAGTGTACGAGTGTCACCAATAGATGGAGTGGTCCTCTCTAGGAATACTAGGGCGGGTTGCTTATATCACTCGTCCTAGTAAGCTTGCAATAACCGTCTTTAACGAGAAAACACACCAAGGAGAAAAACTGAAAATTATAAAATGAATGGCAGAGAATGGTTTCTTGATTGGGAGATGAATTGCTATGGAATGTAAAGTCCTTCACAATCCTGTTAAATTTCAGCAATTCGGGACATGCCCTTTCAAGACAAACGAACTCCTTATGACCTATATTTTTTTGTCGTCTAACCTTGCATGTAGTGGAGCCTCTAGCAAGGAATCAGCAGTCATGTTACCGAGGGGATAGCCCTGGGGCAGTAGGCTGCTAAACGGAAGCTGAGTTTTCTCAGGGGAAAAAAAAAGAAACAAGTAAGGATGCCGCAGGTTTTGGGTTCACAAATTAGCTAGAGATTTCTACAAAGATCTATTCACTTCCCAAAATGCTTCTATTTCCAAACCCCAAAGATCTACAAAGATAGATGAATTCCTTCTCCCACTACAAAAGACAATCACAGACTCTCAAAGGAAAAAGCTAGAGATCCCCCTATCAAGCAAAAGAGGAAAAGAAAGGTGAGGCCATCAACGGTTTGCCCGACCTCGATCGCTAGGAATGGCTCTTCCTGGATCTACGACCTTCGAGGCTCGCTGGGGAGAGGTGCGGCACGCCGCATAGACCCATTTATGGGGGTGGTGCAATGTTGCTGCGGTGGAGCCAACGCCTACTTCTAAGATTTGGGCCTCGTGCTCAGGCGAGGAGAATGGGTAATATGGACTACTTCCTTTTTTTTTATTAAAACAACCCAAGTGAATGCTAGCGGTGCTGATACGAGCAGACACCGCTAGCATGCTCGGGGAGGCTCCACCTATTGGTGGGGAGCAGCACCTGCTGGAAAACGGGTCCAGCGTCCCTTGACATTTTAAAGTGTTTGTGTTTGTTATGGAGATATTCGAGCTCATATGGGCAAGCCACGTGTCCTGCTAATCATCGAAACCGACACGTTGGCACTCCTGACACCCGATGAGCAACATTTCCCTCAACTGAGGGGATTAACTGCCCATCCAAATCCAAAATCATATCCCTACTCTAAATTCCTCCTCATCTACCACATGATTCGTTAACGTGCCATGAGGAAAAGAGGTAGTCAGCAATAGGGAAGATAAAAATTCAATTGACGCAACCCCCCATCGAAACCTTCAACTGTCACTCTTTGCCTATTGAACAACACCTCGATCGATAAGGAAGAGGGGTAATCAAAAGAGGCCGTAGTTCATGCAAATTCATCTCGAAAGGGAGGTAGGTAGCCACGTAGCAGTTCACGACAAATTCCTCGCCACCTGCTCAATCCTGTATTCAAAAGACCGCACAAGGCTTAGGTTACCGTATTCGATTGCCCTCTTGACAAACTTGAGTAGTCACGCAACCCTAAAAGGGCACGATAAGACCAAATTCTCACGCGCTGCCCTGTGCGACCCAGTTATCCAAGGCAACCCTATCCCACCCCTACTCGCCACCATCCAACTTCCCTCTTCGCTGCACAATCTTCCTGTTCCCCAAACCTTCCCATCACCCACCCCTCACGCCTAGAGCCCTGATCAACCCTCAAGAAAGACCAGCAAAGAGAGAAGGAAAGGTGAAGAAAGGGGGAGAGAACATGCCAATTATCTTGGCCTTTATCATATGTGTTGTCGCCAACTGTTTTGTCCTTGTCAATACTGTTATTGCAATGATAATCAATGCAATCGATGACGTTCCCGATCATGCTACCGGCAACTATGCTGTTATTATTATTGTTGTCACAGTTATTATCATCATACCTAATGTTGTTGTTCCTACCAGTGAAAACAACACTAGCACAATCACTATTGTCATCGTTTTCGTCCATACGAATGTTGTCATCATCATTGTTAACATCGCTTTTGTCTGTACTGTTGTTATTATCGTTGTTGCACATGAAATCAGCGTCGCCTTGAGCCACAAACAGCGTAAACCCATCGTCGATATCACTAAAATTGAAGACGTTGTCGTTATTGTTGTTGTTGTTGTTGTTATTATGCTTCTCACACATGGCAATAACCCCTCCCTCCAACCGAGGGCAATCCTCGTCACCCACAAACGAACGCTCCTCCAGTTCGCCGCTAGAACCCTGCCCCTCCTCAGGCTTCTCACAGCAAATTGCAACCTCCTCAATAAGGAAAGCAGCCGGGATACAAGCGTCATCTGCTTCATACAAACAATCCTGCGACACACGCAGCACCTGCCCCTCCTCAGGTCCCACGCCATGCAACCCCTCCCAAAGTTCGACGAGGATTCCCTTCACTTTCCCCAACACTTCAATACAACCCCCCAACTCCGCCGTCACCTGTGCTTTTTCGATGGCACCCAACGGTTGAAAAGGAAGATTTTCACGAAGCTCCTTCTCCCAACCACTGAACAACTCCTCACCCTCCTCCAGAAGGTCCGCTGGTAGATTGTGTTGATGTTGAATAAGCATCGCGTAGATCTCCTCTATTTATTGCCTATACATCTGCATCATCTCCAGCGCGGGTCCCACCTCTCCAAGCATGGCAGCTTCCTACATGGCCGCCGCCTCCATCGCCCTCTGCGTTGTCGATGAAGTCATAGTTGAGGCCGCTATTGTCATCAATCTTGTTGTTGTTATATCTTATTATGCTGTCGAAACCGCTCCCCAAACAGTTGCGCTACGTCTTTAGTCAAAACTTAATTCCATCACGCCGACGTGTCGTCTCCTCAAGCTGCCACGTGGAGAATCCCCACCTACGCCCGGGCCGAAGCACCAGACGGGCACTAGGACGACCAAGTACAGTGATGGCACGACATCACCACCCTTGCACCAGTCTACGGAGCGCGGCCGGGCCTTGCCGGCCGATCCTAGCAATCGGGGCTCGGAAAGGTTGGCGAAGACATTTTACCTTCTTCAAATATTTTGTGGACGGATGACTGATTTAGGATACCTAAGGCTGGCCGCAAGTAGGTGCCGCCTCGATTAATGTGGATTAGAGCCAAAAAAAGTTATCATTCCAGTGACAAATTTATCAGAACAAGAAAGTAAGCCCTGCTAGAGAATGACAAAGGGCAAACGTGGACAAACGAGGTACATATGACTCTATCGCATGAGACCATGAAAAAACTAAGGGGCGTATAGGATCACAAATCGAACATAAGAACCGAATGAGGCATAGCAACAAAATAAGAGGCGTCTTAATTAACCTCAATAGGAGTCCAAAGAAGTTTCGGTCTCGATTAAACGTTTGCACAAACATGAAAGTGGACCTACACATCTATATTTGCACGAACAAAGAAATTCTGATATGAATTAACATTGATTAACCTCAATAGACGTGCTAAAAAAAAAAAATTAATAATTGACTGACTCCTTATTTTTTTTTAATCTTCTATGCATCGCATTTCGGCTGCGTTCTATGTGTTGCACTACGTCTTCTTTGTTTTTCTTGTTTTTTTTTTTCTTTTCTTTTTGACATTATATTACCCTTCTTCATATAATTATATATATATAGATGTTTCGAGGTGTATTATTTTTGTTTCGATTGTCTATATGCATCTTATTCCTCCTATCCGCCGTGACGTGCGCATGTACAAATATGTATGTACGTGCCCATTAATATGGCAGAGGACCAAGGTCCACATAACGATTCAACCAACAGTAATTTATCCATCGTTCTAACCTTCTTTTCACCTGCGGATAAGTCCTTGCATGTTCCATGGAAGCGTCGCAAACGCCTTCGCCGTTGTGAAAGGGTTGTTAGGGATCCTTTGGTGTCTTCGCTGATAGTATCAGAGTGTACTCAGTGTTCTTCCGTTGTTCCATGTCAAGTCGGTTTGTCTTCGTCAGACCGTCTTTCTTCCTGATCCAACCATGGATTGGGATTGCGCATACATTCGGATATTACTCTCGGTTGCTTTGCGAGTGAGACACCGATGTCATCACAACACGAACACTTCAAACGAGGACCGCCACTTTCCCAAAGTCGTCGAACCCGAAGGTCTTTACAACAAGCGGTAGGTGTTGCAGGTGAGGGGATTGCTCCCAGGAGAGATAAACGACCGATGGTAACTCAAGATGATGGTTCTGATTGTTCTTCCGAAGAACAATGTAGTGATAGGTCTCTATCTTTTCGACAAGCGATTCCATCGATGAATAATTTCACAAGCCCTGTGTTTTTCAAAATAATGAGTCAAGGAAATATTAATGTTGGTACGGATCACATTAGTTGTCATGAAAATCTTTCTACGACCTTGCAAAGTGAACGTCCACTTGAAATTCGTACGGATGTTGCAATAAATGCAAATTTTGTTTCGATGGTCGAAAAATCGGTTTTACTCGATGATTTTCCCTTGCACTCGGCACATGTGCACAATTGTTCATCGTCGACATTGACTGGCAATGTCCGACAAAAATGTGTGGAGAACAACCTTTCTCCCACTTTGACAAATGTTCATGCACATCCATCTTTGCTACCACGGCCCAACCGAATTCGTCGAACAGAATGATTAGAAAGTTTATTGGATCTCATAATCGACGGAGAATATTATTATGGAAACCGATTTGTACAAGGCGCAACAGACGGTACCGTATGTTGTTGATTCGGCGAATGCGTGTCAATAAGGTCGTGCGTTGTTTGGAACTTGGACCGTTGTCGTCGATGCCTCACCGTGTGTCATCGGGTTATGATGGAAGTGCAATAGTTGTTGAAAGTACTATAGAGGTTGGTGGAGGAACGGAACAAGTCGATAAAATGAATATGAATGAACCATGTTCTACGTCACATATAATTTCAAAACGAAGGAAAAGTCAGGGACGACGACCAAACTTTCATGTTAAACACATGCGTGTATTAAGAGTTGCGGTTAAGAATCATAGGAGGAAAAAAAATGTGCGTCCTCATAAAGATTTTGTGTGGGGTGTGAGGCGAAGTTTGTTCGCTGTAAATATCATCCAAACGATTCGAGAGAACGCCTCTGCACAATCGAGGAGTGTATCTTCTCCTGCGAGACAATCACGGAGTCAATCTTCTCGGACAAGGCACTCGCGAAGTCTGATATCGCGAGCGAGACAATCGCAGAATCCATCGGTGAGAAATCAAAATTCAATGAACAATCGCGAAGACGATGAGCCAAATAGTCGCGAGGAAGAAATAAATGATTCGCATGATGTTCCGACTCCTGATCTTAATGTACACTTATCGGCACCCGTGACAACAATGTATGCGGCGGTTGCGAACATCATAGCGATTCTTGGAAATGCTAGCACTGTTGAACTGTTCGGCATTGGAGGTCGATATCCGTGTAAGCATTGTGGTGCTAAATTGTGGCATGATGAAAGACAATAGACAAATATGTGTTGCCGAAAAGATACAACACGTTGTCCTTTATGAGAATGGAAGGCTCCTCGGAGCATGAGATTATTTCTCTTTGGACGTCTCAAACTTTCGACGGTCGATTCCTTCGAAACAATGCAAGGATAATTAATAATACTTTATCCCTCGCATCCTGGCGGTTGAAGCAGCCGAGCGATGACGTTCGAGAATTCCAAGGCCAACTTAGGGCTCAAGGTCCAATCTTTCATCGTGTCGGTGCAGTGGCTGTGGGGGAAGAGAAACGTCCTCAGTTTGCACAACTATACTTGCACAACCCTCAACATTTGGACGATGCGATTGATCAAATGGTAAATTTTCTTAACTTATCTGCACGTACATCTGATACCGAACTTGATCGAGCGAAACACATATTGAGAAGGTTTCACGAATTGCTATAACAATGTAATAATTACGTAAAGGACTTTATGCCAGTTGTTGAACTTCCGCCAGAAACGTTAAACGAGTGAAACTTTGTCATAAATCTGGATCTCATGCCTGATGAGGAACATGCAAGGCGTTATAACCGTCCTATGGATTTATATGAGGTATGTGTTCTGATGGTCGATGAACTCCTTCCTCGTGAGCTCGAGATTCGTTTGCGTGCTCCTCTTCCGGGTGAGCGGCGGTGTCAGCGCGAATACCCTTACAAGGGTATCCGCCCTGGTTTTTGCAAGTGACAGAAAATAGTTTTGGTTTAAAGTTTAAGTATACCACGCTAGGCGCGGCTGCGTCTGTGACTATCGTTGACTGGATGGTTGACTGGATGGTTGACTATACTAGAGAGTGCGTGGGCGCTCAGGTTTAGGGCGCGCGCGTGATTCTTTTCTGTTTTTGATCATAAAGTCGGCACGGACATCGATCGTTTTGTTAGTGATATTACTATTATTTATTTATCGACAACAAAGTGACTTCTGAAGGCGTCTTGGTAGCTTGGAGCGTCGCGTAGTGTCTGTTTATTTGGCCGTCCGCCAGCGCTAGACCCAGACTTGGGCCTAGCACTATCTGTTACGGCATCGAACTTTCATCAGGGGGATTCAGGGATCGAGGTCGAGCGAGCGGCGACGCGGGGATCAGAGTGGCACGAATGGACCGAGGGGTTGAGGACCTGGCGGGGCTATCCCCTTTGGTTTTGCCGTCGGCGGCGGCGTTTTCTAGGTAAATTCTTTTTAGCGTCGTATTTCTAATTAATTTCTGCTATGCTCCGACGTGCCGATTGACCCCGGCACGACACCGGCTTTTTAGGGCCGTCGGCGGGAGCCCCAGTCATAGGACTTGGGCTTGCGCCTGTTTTGACGACTCGATCGGGTTCCGGCATGTTTGGGATGCTGGCGAAATTCCTCTGTCCCATCCATCTTGGAATATGGGCCAAGGAGTTCAAATGCGCATGCAAGCTGGTGGGTGATTAGCCTATGAGGTGGGAGAAAACGGAGTGGCGGGGCCCCTTTGGTGGGTGCGTCGGCCGCAGCCCACGATCCACGTGTGGGAGGTTTGAGTGTGAGTATGCCCGTTGGGCCCTGGCGGAGGGCGAGTTATCCCTGAGTGAGGCGGCTCGGGCCATGGTGAGGCCTGCAACAGTGTTGATTGTGCGCAGGTAGCTCACGGTGACCCCCCCCCCCGCTACGGCCCTCAAAGTTCTCATTTGAGTAGTTGCCACTATCACCGAGGGTCTRCACCGGGCCCTCSCCGMGAGGGACCGCCTCATTAAGACCCAAGGGTAATGGTCTSYTGCAGGCCRTGCCCTTGAGACCTCAGCGTAAGCCTACCTGTTGGAGGCTCGAGGGGACGACARGCTCTGCTGGGGRATAACGGGCGGTGTGYCCGGCCGGGCAGTGAAGCGACAGTCCGGCTGGGCAACGCCAGGCAGCAGCGGGGCAGGGCGGAAGCGCAGCATACGAGGTAGGTGCGGGTGAGGACAACGGGCRCCRGGCRTGTARAACGGGGGAGCGGAGTGACGGGCGCCAACACGATGAGGAAAGGCGAGGTGGTAAAAGAGGGCGACGGGTGCTAAGTATGAGGGGCAAGACAGGACTGGGCGTGGTAGAAGAGACGGGTGACAGGGCAGCGAGACTGGCCGGGCGGCGCCGAGTGACGGCGGATTGATCTATAGCAGCGAGCCAGGGCAGCCAAGCAGCAGGCCGGGCGACCGATGCCAGAGAGCTGTGGGGGATGGGCTACTACCGAGTGCTGAGCTAGTAGTAGTGGGGGATAAGAGTGGAGTGAACCCGGGCGGGTTAGCACGCCGGGTGCATTTAGAGTAGGGAGAGACGGAGGTGGCTGGGGGTGGAAGAGAAAGGAAGTAAGAGAA